AGAGAGTTTTCTCCCTGATTCCCATTGACTCCAGTTTTGCTAGTGTTTCTTGATGCCATATTTGGTCAAATGCAGCCTTGATGTCAAGGGCATCCCTGTCACCTCAGGAATTCTGTTCTTTTGTCCATGTTTGAACTAAGGCCGTATTGGGGTCAGGAGCTGAGTGGCCCTAGCAGAACCCAACCTGAGGATCACTGAGCAGGTTATTGCTGAACAAGTGCTGCTTGATAGCACTGTTAATAATGCCTTCCATCACCTTGTTGATGATCAAGAATAAACTGATGTCGTGGTAATTGGCCTGGTTAGCTCAGTTAGCTGGGCAGCTAGTTCTCCATGCAGCATGATGCCAATTGCATGAGTTCAATTTCCCCATTGGCTGAAGTTACCATGAAGGAAAGAGACCCCCAGGTTAAATCACCACCACTAATGACAAAGCAACTCTATGGTCAGTAGGCGCATGGAGATTGTAGTTAGTACTGTACCTAGTACCACATGACATGATGTAAGTTATTATCAATGTAATGGTAGAATTTTATCTCCACAAAGATCGTCCTGTGGTCACTCTTACCAAAAGTATCATAGATAGATCCTTCTGCAGCAGACAGATCGGTGAGGATGAGGTTAAGTATGTCATTGTTTCTTGTCGGTTTCCTCACCACCTACCACAGACTGAATCTAGCAACTATATCTTTTAGGACTTGACCAGTTAAATCAGCAGTGTTGCTGCTGAATCACTGTTGGTGGTGGACATTAAAATCCTCCACACAGAGTATGTTCTTTGCGCATACCACCTTCAGTGCTTTCTCCAAGTGTTGTTTAAACTTGTGGAGCATTGATTCATCTGCTAAGGGGTGTTAGTTAGTTATCAGCAGAAGGTTTCCTTACACATTTTACTTGATGCCATGGTGTTCAGAATCAACGCTGAGGACTCCAGAGCAACTTCAGGGCAAATCCGCTTTCTACTCCAAAGATCTACATTAATTCTTTGTATTTTAATCTTGTATGTAGATTTTATTTATGTTTAATGAATAAGTTGTGAAATTCAGTAGCTCAACTGATCAGGGTAAGACTACCAATTTATGCTCAGTTATGATGTGGAGGTGCCGGTGTTGGACTGGGGTGGATAAGGTTAGAAGTCACACGACACCAGGTTATAGTCCAACAGGTTTATTTGAAATCACAAGCTTTTGGAGGGCTGCTCCTTCATCATGTGAAGTGTCGATATGCGTGATCTTCTTGGAGACCCTCTCTACTTTGAGCCAGTGTTTTGTGGTGTCAATGGTAGCCATGATGTGAAGGTGCTGGCATTGGACTGGGGTGGGCAAGGTCAGAAGTCACATGACACCAGGTTATAGTCCAACAGGTTTATTTGAAATCAGAAGCTTTCGTAGCATTGCTCCTTCGTCAGGTGAAATCACCCCTGTATCTATCTCTCTATCTCTCTCTTTCTCTCTCTCTCTCTGTTGCTCGCAGGTACAAATACACACACATGACTCCCTTGCTAATCTATTTAACTCAGCCTTGAATATATTCAATGACCCAGCCTCCATTCCACTCCAGGGAAGAGATTTCGATGGACTGATGACCCTGTGACAGAAAGAATTTCTCCTTATCTCAGTGATAAATAGGTAATCCCTAATTTTAAACTATGTCCCCTAATTCTACATTCCTCTGCCTGGCAATATGCTCTCTCAGCATCATTCCGTCAGTCCCTTCAGATTCTTATAAGTTTAAATACGATCACTTCTCATTCTTCTAAAATTGCATGGGTATGGGCCCAACCTGCTCAATCTTTCCTTATAAGGCAACTCTTCATCACAGGATTCAACCTAGTGAATCTTCTCTGACTGTTTCTAATGCAATTTTATCCATTATTTCATACAGAGATCAAAACTGTACACCGTATTTCAAATGCAGTTTAAGACAATGTGGAGCTGCAGCAATATTTCCTGACTTTCATACTCGATTTCCCCTTGTGATAAATATCAATCTTCCATTTTCTTTCTTGACCACCTGCTGTACCTGCATTTTGTGATTCATGTACCAGAACACTCTGCAGAGCTGGATGAACACAGCAGGCCAAGCAGCATCATAGGAGCAGAAAGGCTGACATTTCGGGCCTAGACCCTTCATCAGAAATGGT